TTCCTCCTTTTTAGCACCTCCTTTTTCCACCCCAGACAGCAATCCCTGCTCTTCAGCATCAGGATTGAGCAGGTCTGCCCGTAGAGGGGACTTTTAAAGCTGTAGGTAGTTTGCAGTTTGCCTCTGGTCTGCTTATCAGCATGATTTCCTAACAGGTAGGGAATGGTGTTCTTGGAGCAAAACAGAAGCAACTCCTTGCAGTAAGAAAATGACAAAAAATGAAAGATCTGTGTTTTGAAGAGAATTTACTCCGTGGTATTTAATGAGTTAATTTGATTTGTATTAGAAACGAGAGGAAAAATTCCCTAACAAACCAGCCGTTGCAAAGTATTGGGCCCACTGTGCTTAGCAAATTTCCAAAAGCCATTTTGCTGAGCTCAGCTCATGAAGGTGGTGCCCTGAAATTGATGAGTGAATTGAGAATTCACCTAAACGATTAGCACAGAAATAAAGCTGGATGAAGGCAAGTGCTGAAACTGTACATCAGGGAAAATTACTCCTTATGGTTCACGACTGCAGTGATGAAGCGCCTTCCAGGTTTGACAGCTTAAGTTTAAAGGGTCTCTCACTTCTCCTGCTGCTACTGATGAAAGCAAATTCCTGATTATCTTTTCATTGGAGAATCTTTTAGGCTTCGTTTACAAAAGGAAAGTTCAAAGACGAGATATCCTCTTGGACATAACACCTTTTTCAAGGAGACCATTTCAGATGGGCTAGGCTGCCGTGCCTCAACTCCAGAGCCGGTGGGATTCAGCGCTCTGCAGGCAGCTCCCTTTGCCTTTCTCTACTGAGCAATACACACTTCAAATGAACCCTGCTAAGGGGCTTATGCTTGCTGGGTGCTCTTTAATTTTCAAGCACAATGAAGCAGACTTGGCATTTCAGTTGCATTATGAAAGATTGTTTCCGAACAGCTGAAGAGGGGGAAAGAAGTACGTTTCTTCTTCCCACCTAATCAGGCTGAAGTTTCCCAGTGCCAGCCTCAATCTGTGTTAAATTGCTCATGCCATCCATCGGAGAGATTAGACTTGGGTACATAACAGAAGTTAATTCCAAAAATGATTACTCAGACAATTAAGTACTACAGCTGTAGTGGGTGGTTCTGGCTCTTGGAGCTCCCTCTCAGGTGCTTTATGTGTCCCCCCCCTTACCTCACCACCACTGTGACAGAGATGCCACCTCCCCTCCACGCTGGCCAGTGTTTGGCCTGGGGCGGGTCCCTTCTCCCCAGCCCCCTCCAGAGGCCACATGTCCCCCCGGCACCTCAGGGGCTCAGCTGAAGACTCCATGGCACCAAGCACCAGAGCACAATGGAGAGATGGGCTCTTTATCAGTTTATGAACCACACAGAGATTAAGGGCCAAATTTACTAGAGGTATCCAGGTGCCTCATCTTCCCTGGGGGGCAAAACTCCAGGGAAAAGAATGGGTGGTTTAGAGGTGGCATTTGAATTGCCCAGCCTCAGAGGCCTTGCAACGTAGATGACGTTCCCTCCAAGTCAGGTGTTCCAGGCACCTTTACAGTCAAAGAAAGGAAGGGAACTGCGCTCCACAGGGCTGATTTCTCTGCACTGATACAAATGAAAAGCAGATGATTAGCTCAAATGCATCTATCTGAGGTTCAGCAAAATGGACCCCTGGGTACCCAAAGCAGAATAGAAGTAATCCCCATGTAACCTCAGACAGGCAACGCAGGCAGCGTGGTGGACCCAACGCAGCCGTTACCTAGGTCTAAAGCAATGTGAAAAGACGGGCTGTGGGAGATAAGCACTGGAGTGGGAGTCGGGATGACAGTGCTCTATTACCACCACCAAATACTTCCTCTGGCCATGGTTTCTGCCACCTTCATCAACAGTCATCCTTAATATTGACAAGGGCACCACAAACCTTTACTCTGACAGATGAAAGATTTCAAGTAGAATACAAATGGTTTAAAGTGGCAGGGTGAGGGGAAAGATATCTTTTATTTCCACACCTTCAGATCTCATTGTTTGTGCTTTTCCTATTCTGATGTCTTGAGAACCCAGCTTGCCCTCCCATTCTTCACCCTAAAGACATCAGTTTTGATCCTATAGAAACTGCGCCACTGAAGCTGTTCTGTCTCCAGCTGTCTCACTCAGTTATTTTCTTAAGTGCAACTGATCACCACAAGTGCCATCAGCCATTTTAGGTTATGAATGCCATCCATGGACCCTGTAACAGCAACTAAGGGACCTCAAGGTACTTCTTTCCACATAGCTATGGCACAACACAACCCATCTGCATATGGCCACAGGACCACAAGCAAAGCCCTCACAGACCAGTGCTCGCAAAGCCACACGACAAAACATATTAGCTCAATGCAACCCAAAAAAGCATACAAAAGGAAGATCATCTTTTCCGCTGGACATGCTACAAAAGCAGATCACATGCCTTCACTGTTTTCTTTCTGGAACTGGAGTGAAATATCAAAGGATAATTCAAAACACATTTGGATATGCTTGAGGTAGGAGAGCACAGGGCAGTATCTCCGTCAGGCCATAGAAACCCTCCCCTTATTAACTCTCTGTTCTTTACCTCCCCCACATTTGACAGCTCCTGGAGTGGGTCCAGCGTCATTGCATCAGCAGTACTGCCAGGACCCATTCCACATGCTGAGCAGTTTCTGAAGGAAAAAGCATTTCCTGACATCTGTTCTGAATTCACTGCTCTTCTCCTCCTCCCCCACTTCATTTCACCCCGCACTCCTCTCCAGCTTCCTCTCCATCACCACCTGTCCCTGTCTGACCAGGGCTCACCAGTAAGAGCTGAGGATCTTAATGGAGAATTGATGACCCACACCTGTTCCAGCCCTGTTCCTCCCCCTGCTAATTTTCTCTGTCTGCTGTTGACACAGGAGTTTGCTCTTAGCAATTTGACCCTAACCCAGCAGATCATTTGTGCATCCACTCTTTCACATGTCCAAGTTTTTCCTACTAGAACCAAAGGCTTGAGCATTGGCTAAATTAAAAGGACCTTTGCAGGACTGAACCTATGACCAGGCTCATTACTCTTTCCTCACTCCCTCTTAGGATGGAGCTGTTGCAATGCTAACGATTCCAAGGTTGAATTTTGCCCGGTGCAAACTTTGGTGAAGTTAGCAGGATAGGCAATGAGTTCCATGATTATTTGATTCCCATCATAAGTTTTCCCTCATGCTCCAGCTCACCTTGTGCTAGCTGAACAGCTACACAGTCCTAAAAATTTTCTGCATCAAAAATATTCAAAAGATAATAAGACTAAGAGACACAATGAGCTTTTTCTGCCAACTAGTTTGCCAGCAATTTTGCATATACAAACACAGATGCAGTTTAAAGGAACCAAAAGTCATCATGATCTTGATACTTACCCCTGCATTGCAAAATTTTAAAGAACCTGGATATCTCAGCACAGTCCCTGAGGTTTTGTTTTCAGCAGGACATGACAGACACCACTGCATACGCCAAGCATGTAGTAGATTTTATTAAGCATAACTTTGGTTCTAAGTATTCCACCCTCATTCTTGTAATACCTTTAGTTAAAAACAATTATACAAGAGCAAATACAAAAAATATTAAATTATGAAAACAAATCCATTAAGGCTCCCTTTTTATATTTATATATATTTATATATGTACACTCAAACAAGTGCAGATATTAACAGAAGGTTAAAGCCACAAAAATGCTAAAAAATTTACTACTATCAAAAGCAAGAGTTTTAAAAAAGTACAAAGTGGTAAGTGAGCCATTTTCAAATCACTGAAATATTTGCTGGATTGCTTCAAAACCCATATAGCTAAAGGGAAGATTAACAATTGCTTACGCTCACTGGCAAGCAGTTTCTTACTCGAGTAGCCGCACAGGACACTTGTGGTGTGACTAGCTGACCACCCATTTAAGGGTCGCCCATTCTAGCCCAATCCTGACTTTAAAGACAAGCTTTTGCCTGTCAATTTGACATGAAGGTGGCTGGGATTCCTAGACTAAAGGGTCAGCAGAATTCAAAGATGTTCTAACACACACGTTGATGTTCTGTTCACACAGAGAATTAATTCCAACCGAAAACAAAAACCTACTTCACGCTGTATGTACAAGGGAGTTTTCTGGCCTCCTGTGTTTCAGACAGAGAAACTCTACCCTGAATCACAAGCTAACATGAAGAGAAAGCAGAATGCCTTCAGCCTTGAAAGGCCCAATCCAACACACTCACTGAAGCCAAAGAGAGGTCCTTGTCCCCCACTGACTCTGGTGCCATTTGGTTTACACCAACTTCATTTCACTGTGCATGCATGGTAGGATTGCTGTGTTCACCAAGGGGAAATGGCTGAGAAGAAATGGTCTGCTCAAGCCAGAGGAGAGTCTCCTCACCAGCTTCTAGACATTTCCACACTGAGCAGAAGGTTAATAGTGGAGTGGAAACCAAGAGGCATGAAGTTTGGTAGGCTGGGAGTGGCTAAGATAAAACATGAGCATGGCATGGAAGGCTCATATATAGTGCTGTCTTCTCAACAACATGAAACAAACTCAATCAGTGCAAGTGTTTGAATAATGTGCTGCCAGAAAGGAAGATCCTCTCCTTCCAGAAGAAGGGAAGGAGAGAGTGAAGAACCTGCAACACTCAGGGTGTTCCTTTGTTGAGAAAATACATGGAAGAGTCTTACGTTTGGCCTTTGTCTTTTTTATGTCCATAATCTGAACAGTCTGGTAGGCCATCTTCATATTTAATCTTCTAGATGTGAGTCACACGGCAAGTCTAAATCAATGGCAATAGACTTATCACAATTCAATTTACTCTCAATCTGATTATGTCCTCATAAAAAATGCCTGGATCTTGACAAATTGAAGTCTGTATCTAGGAAACATTTCTAATTGTGAGCATTTTGTCCCAAGTGCTGTGCTGGCATTGTATTTAAAATGTCCAACACTTACAGGAAAGGCAAAAGGAACTAAAAAACAAACCAACAAACCCTCCCCCACCACTTCTACAATACAAACATACCACTGTTGATATTAATAAAAAGTGTTCTCAAACAGTTATGTCCAATGTCATTACAAAGTAGAAATTATTTTGTTTAGCATCCTAAGGCAAAGACTAGGATTAGATCCTCAGCTGATGAGGATGAACACAGCTTCAGTGAGAGCTAGGACTGTGCCGACCAAGGAAGATGAGGATTTCTCCCCAGATTCTGAAGATAAGGTACCTGCACCCATTCACAACAGGTGAGAATCCAATTCTATAATCCTACATGAGTAATCTGTTCCCCCCTCCTCAACCCAGGCTTTCCTGGATAACTAGTAGTCATAAGCATGAAGGATCAGATTCTGCCATCCCTGTGCAAGCTGAGTAATATTTTATTTAATGGCAAGACACAGGGGCAACTTGTGGAAAGGCAGAAGGTGACAGAATTGGACCCTAAGACTCAGTGGTAACACACTCCCCTTCTTTCTTGAGGCTAAAGGAAGGATGGGATAAAATGAATTTCATTTTATGCCTCACTTTAGGGGAAAAAAATTCCATTTCAGCAGATTCCAACAATCAGTTTGGTCTGGCTTAAACGCTGCTCTGTTGCACGAACTGCAACAAGTTCCTGCAAGCAAAGAGCTGGAATTGATGGCAGATCAGATTCCTGATTTCAGTTCCAGCAAATAAGTTTGAACACTACCAAGTAATGTGTTAACACTGTACTCAGATGACCATGTCCTTAGATGAGAAAGGCCACAACAGCAAAGTAAGTAGGACTTCAAAACACTAGAAGTAGAAGACAGGTCATTTTGCATTGAGAGGTAAATTCACAGTTCACAGGTAGCACTGCACAGGCCTGTACACAACGGTGTAAGTTTAAAGACAGAGATAAATCAGCTTCTGGATTCTCCCTGGTGAGAGGATCATCAGATTTCTGCTCCTTCATAGCCCAAATTCTACAAGCCAAACAAGGAAAAATGGGCTTTAAGGCTGCTCAACTTTTCACTGCTGGTGAATTTGAAGCATTCTCATCTTGCCCACAGCTGCCTATCCTAGTGGGGATGGGCAGCAGTGATCAACACACCTCCATCCTCCCAGCTTTGATAAAAATTCCAACTAAACACAAATTATTGTGGGATATACACAGGCTGTAGTTCTAGATGGAGGCAATCTACCTGCACAGCAAAGCTTTGTAAGACATCACAGGAGGATTTTTGTTCTTTTTAAAGCAAATATAATCTGTGTATCTCCACTAAACTAGGATCACAAGAGATAAAGCAGTGCAACACTGAAGGAGTTTCTCTAGTATCCCTGGTTAAAATCTCTGAGTAAGCACATCAGACTGGTCCATGACACTGAACTGACAAACAGACTCCTTATCCATTGATCTCAAGACTGCATTTGGCAAGTCGATCTGTTTATGGTACTGTCTTTTTAATCCACACATCCCAGGAATTAAAAATCTCATCTTCAGTAAGTGCCAGCTGGATGCTGTTATTTTCCCTCTTGAGGGGCAAATCTGAGACAACTTGCAAAAGCCTCTCTCTGCAGGAAAGCTGGAAGTCTGAGCAGGCGCTGGCTTTAGGAGTCTGGTGCTTCTGTTGCTTCCTGGACCGTCCTCCTCAAGTTGCCCTTGACTTTGACAAATTCAGGTGCGTTTTCCTGCTCTTCCTGCATCTTCTGCTGCTCCAGTTCCAGCTTAAAAGGGAATCACATAAAAAAAAAAAAGTATATAAAACAGATCTTCAAATTACAAGACAAAAACCTAAAGGTTTCAATAACTGGCCATGCAAAACTCTTTAAAATGCTTCCTTTCTTTCTCTCATGGAAAAGATAAAGTTGCATTTCTTTGGGAGTATCTGTTCTCATAAATGATAATTCTTTTCAAATCCTTGGCTCTAGCTCATTCCAGATGTCCACCTTTGCCAGACAGACAAACACTCTGCAAGCCCAGTATGAGAATAAGATGGAAGCATTTTTGAAGAAATTCTTTAACATCTTCATTAAAGAAACTACAATAATTCCTTTCTCTGGCTTTTACAACAGGACAAGGACAAATGTGCCTTATGGGAGAACACATGTAAACAGCTACTACTGAGCACACTTGCAGAATTTATTTGAGTGTTTAGGTATGGATTTCTCTATCTAACTTGAGCCTCTTTTGGTGTATCCATTTTGTCTATCACAAAAAGAAAATAAAAAAATCCTCCTTGGCCCCTAGTTGTCCATTTTTGAGAGCCTATTCACTGACATTTTTAACCCAGTTGGAGCTCCTGCCCATGCAGACACTCAAAATCACATGTGAGGTTAGACACTCTGCTCTATGGGGCTAGGCTGTACAGTGCCCGTACAGAACACAGCTTACACATCACACAGAATACAGATTGCTTGGCAATCCTCAGTGAAGGCAGATAAGTCAGCAGAAAGGAAGAAACAACCCTTTAGAAAACTAACAAAAGCTCCTGAAAGGAGCTTTTTTTCTTTCTTTTTTTTTTTTTTTTTTTTAAACAAACCAAGGCCTTCCTGATTAATGGGGACCATGTACGGCTCTACCTAAATAATCTCTACTTTGTCTCTGGTTCACTGGCAAGGCACATGCCTTGTTAGAATAAATCATGACAACGTTCCTCCATGAGTCGTGTTGTAAATTAATGCTGTTCCTATGATGTTTACGAAGTTACAATATTGTTTGCAATGGGCAGGCTTTTCCTCTTCTACAGGATTTTCTATTCTACATATGTCCTTGGATAGCTCAGTTTCAAATCAAATCTTCCCACAAGCTGAACCATTTGAAGCTGGGCCCTTAAGAGCAGAAAGGAAAAGTGACAGGATGATACCCTTAAAAAGACAATAGCTTTCTCCCTCCAAAAATATTTCTAAGCCTAATTAAGAAAAAACAATAATAAAACCCCCAAACCTAAATAATGATTGGATTACACCTCATTTTCAATAGAGTAATTATTTGGCTTAATTGATTTCCATTGAGAAAAACAGAAGATACTGTTTTAAAGCATTCATTTATTTAAAAATAAATGCAATGCTTCAGGCACAGTGACTTCTTTGATGAGGTGCTTCACTGTAGAGATATTTCCTCGCAGGTACACAAAGTGCCTTAAGAGGCACAGAGATGTTTGGCTGGCCCTGTGCCTAGCAGTAAGCTTCACCACAATGAACTCCAACTCCACATATCTCCATACTCAGGATCTTTTCCTTCATTTGAAAATGCCAATGGGCTCACAGGTTTTAAGGCTACAAAAGATATTTTTAAAGTCATCTAGTTTCTTATGTACCCCAGGAGAAAGAATCATTTGATTTTTTTATTCATTAAGCATCCACCAGTTTTGCTGCACTACAGCCTAACAGTCATTCTTAGTGGATCATCTCTTAATAGTTAGACTACAAGAGTTGACTAATTCACCACAGTGTCAATGGTTAAATAAGGTCAGTGCTCCACACACATTCCTGTTGTCTGGTGCAGGATTCATTTGACCAAAGGCAGACACCATATGCAGTTCCTATAGAGTAAGTGACAACAAACAGGTAATTGTAGAGTGTGATTTGACTCATCCTAAAAAAGATATCTGCATTTGATCAGAGGAAATGTGCCAAAAATTGGCTGCTGCTTCTTTCCTGTCTACAAAGGGAGTCTCAGGTAAGTAGCTCAGATGTAGGTGTGTAAAGGTAGTGTTATTCCCCAACTCACCTGCTCCAGTTTCTGCTGCCGTTTCAGTAGCTCTATTTCCAGGTCTGATTTCTTCTTTTGTGCTTCCTCTTCTTTTTGTTGTTTAATAACTTGATCTCGTTTCCTTTTCTCCATCACCTTCTGTAGCTCTGGTTTGTTCTGAGGTGCAAGACCCCTTCAAATTAAATGGGAGGAGTGGTGGTGTGGGGGGGAACAGGGAAGAAAGAGATCAGTTTTAATTAGCAGAAATTCACACAGAATTCTAAAGTCAAGTCACAGTTTTCTAAAGTCAAGTAGTTGCCTACTTAGATACATTGGAATATATATAATTAATTAAAAGGAAAAAAACATGCAGACATTTGCCTGGTTTCTAACCAAAACCCTGAACTAGAATTTAAGTCATGTTATTACTGAGGATATTTCCCTTTAACGTGCATGCTAGTATTTCTCCTGTATAATTCACTACTTTGACTTTGATCTTCTTCTAGTCTTCCCTCCATTCTCTCAACTCCAGAAGAATGGATTAAAAAAAAAAAAAAAAAAACAAAAAAAAAAAACAACCACAAATCAAGTCTCTAGTAGAGCTAGAAACAAATTTTGGACAAAAGGCTTCCCTTGCTGGCTGGTAACTGAGAGATTGTGTTCAGACAGTCCTACGCAGGGTGTTATGCCCATAGAAGTTTGCATGAACAGAACTAAAACGTGGTCTCCCTCTGGATTTTGTCACACTGCTCCTGGAAATTGTGGATTCTGTCCTTCCCTGAAAAATGTGAGAGCTTTACCCATGCCTGGCTGCAAAGCTATTTCCAGTGAGAGCTCCCAGGCTACACTCAAAACCACAAAGAGCTAAGACAACAAAAATCCAGAAGAAAAAAAAGTTGCAATCACCTTGGAGACCAGACAAAGGCTGGAAGATTCTCCCTCTCAAAAGACTTTAGGTACTACATCAACTGAGCATTTCAAGTCTGTTCAGCACAAATTGCTTTCCAAGACAACTACTCTAAAATGAGAAAGCTTACTCTTTGGGAAGATGCGTGAATTCATTTATATAGGCACACAAACAGATACACACTTAGTCCTACTTATTTTTGTGGCTTCAGCTATTTCTTTTATCTCTGTTATGCTACGATGTTTTCAAAATTTGTTATGTTAAGATTCAAAGCTCTCCCTTGTATTCAGATATTAGCGTCACTTAAGTCTGAGCAGAAAGATCTGAAATTTGCCTTTGTTATTGTCATCTTCCCTGTGAAGACTATTATGCAAAAACATCCAGCATTAAGTTTAACATCAACCATTTTTTATTTCAACTTTAAGAAACTCAATAATCTGAATAAGCTTTCAGAAAGCGTATTTTTACCTTCCCCTGCTTGGTCTGTATCTGTGGTTGCCTAATTCTTCCATAACATGCATATCTGACAGCACGTCCAATAATACATTAAAATGCCATTTTATGGTGACATCTATGAATGACTCCATATATTATGCAACACCCTATCCCTGTACATACCCTGACAGCAAAATCAAATATTTAGCAACACCAAACGCTGTTCCCTATTTCTCATAATAGGTCTCATGGCCTGAATGCAACAGAAACTACAAGATTGTGTTCGTATTTTATATTTACTACTTTTTTAATTACATTTTAACACATAAAACTGAAGTCAGGCAGAGAAAAGCTGGAGTGATTTTTTGTTACTACTACTGGATCAGTGAGAGCTGAACCAATGGAAACTTCCATGCTGGCAATTAGCAATCAAGACAGCCACAAACCAGATGCAAGCTGCTATGTAACATTACTTGGTCCTGCTTTTTTTCAGTAAGGTTGCACTGTAACAAAGCAGAGGCCCAAGACTGATTTAGATGTGCTGTAGCTATAATAAAGGGGACCTGCAGAAGATACAAGCAAATACAACCTCTCAGTCTAATTAAGTGGGATTGGTAGTCAGATCTGTAACAGAACAACTGTATCGTCAATCCTGTTTTCACTCTCATATGTAAAAAGGAAAAGCAACAAACAGGTGACTACTGGATTAACTGGGAGTCTTGTATCACCTCCTAGTGATTCTTCTGGTTAAATAAAAAAGCAAAGTGTGCTATAACACAAGTTAGAGCTGATAGGGTTAAAACCTCGAAGGGACAGGACCAATGCTCTGCAGAACTGAGGTTGACTCCTAATAAGTAAAAACAATTTAAGATAAGTGACCAATGCCTTGAGGTACCACTACCTGGATCTTTGTTTGCCCCAAACAACTACCATTTCTGCAAGTAAATAACTACATCAGTTAAAGACTCAATAGACACTGCTCACAGTAGCCATGGAGAATGATCGGACCAGCACTGGCTAATATCTTCTAAGATCCAGAAAAGGCTGTTCAGAGCTGACTGGTAAAAAAGTGAAGCTGCTGGTGCCTACACTGAGTCTTCACAATAAAATAAGGTGCATGTTAAGCAGAATTCTGTAGGAGTACCAGAAGTCCTCCATACATATGACAGTTTACAGTAACAAAGCAGAACACAAGCCTAATATCTACATTACCAAAAAGCCTCATATCAGAGCTAGGACAGTGGCACGAAGCACAGAAGACTAACCCTCTTCCCAAAACCACAAGTTTTTCTACTGGTGAAAACCCTCAAAGTATTTCATTTCTGCACCAATAAATAAGAATCTAAAATTAACAGCTGCAGCTAATCAAAATCACAATAAGAGAAGAGTGGGTATTGAGGGCTGCACAACTCCTCTGTGTAATAGGATATTCTCCTAGAAGAAAAGAACAGAACTCCATACTATTTAAAAGTGCTTTATGCTTTCATAAACTTAAAAGAAAAAAAGTAGCCTTAATTTATTGCAGCCTCCACATCCTTTAGAATAAGACCGTAAGTCGGGAAACTTCAACTATCTTTCTTTCAATGACTATAAACTTCTTGGTGCTAGGAATTGACTTTGATGTTTAATCCCATTAACGAAAAATAGGACAAACACCTATTTAGGCCAGTTTCTTCCAATTCAGTTGGCATTCTGTAAAACATTTCTACTTCTTCATCACTAAAGAAATGCTGTATTGTGTATCCAATTCATTTAGAATTAAGTATCTAAGCCTAGCATTTGTGAGGATTTTGCTATTACACATAGAAAAGACCCCTTCTCCCCTCAAAATACTACCCTACCAGAGGGGGGGGGGGGGGAGGAAAACTTTTCACAATGTGACTCTTCTTGCCAAATAGACAAACCCAGTTGTGCTGGAGTAGCTGAAGCAATAGCTTCCTCCTCTCCTTTATCAAGGTCCTGGGTCTCAAAAAGCCTGAAGTTGATGAAATCAAGTTCCAGTTATTTACATCTCTAAAAGCAATATATAGAGCAACAGCTGTGCATCCAATCCCAGAATGGAGGAAGCAGCATTTGTGTAACATACAAAGAAACACTTGTGCAGCAGCAGAGCAGGCGCCAGACTACCACACTGCATTGCAAGAAAGATCAAGTAAGTAGAGAACAGTCTCATGTGAAATAAAAATATATGATTTCTTTGATTTAAAAGTGGCTCCATAAAATTAGAGCACTGGGAACAGTGAAAACCCACAGATTTTATCATCCTGCTGGTAATAGCAAAATTTTGTGAAATACTTGATGAAGTTAAGAGTTCAAGACAAATTACGGTGCCCAGGTAACCAATATGAAATGTGATAGAGGAGAACTGAACTGCTTCCTCTTGAAACTGACCCTTCGTGAGTATTCACAAAAACAAAATTAGAAGTCTTTTATAGCAAGCTTTTGCAGAGCAACTGAAATTCAAACAGAAATAAATGCCATAGTTAACAAACAGAGTCTTTTCACCTACAAGATCTGAATCAAAAAGTGTCTGCTGGGTTTTGGGTAAAACGAGTTTTAGTTTCATCAAGGTGACAAGCTGTGTGTTTGGGGTGGGAGGGTGGCACAAGTCATTTTTTAGACTCTTACCTTTTCTGATTCATAAGCAACTCTCTGTGGAGATCTTGATGATTCCGGGATGACTTCACGGGATTAATTAATTTCTGAGGTCTAATTAATTCAGGATTGTCATCATCTATGTAGTCTGGTTCAGCCATAATCTTTCTTGGAATGGGATATGGGTCTTTGGGTTCAGTGTCCTTGCTCACAGTATCTGTAAAACAGGGGGAAAACTGCAGTAAATCTGCATTGAAAGGCCTTTTAAAGATGTATTAAAACATAAAGGCAGCATATTACATTGGTAACAGTTATGCTTTTCCTAGATTAATTTTGTCTGTAGTAAGTAAAGGCTCTCAGAGCAAACATCAGTTGTATCTTTTTAAATAGATGGCAATTTCACAACCATGTCATCTCCAACAGTCTTCATCCATTGACTTGGAGACACAGATTACCCCCATTTTAAGAATTAGACAAATAATTTAGGTTAAGCGCATGAAGATCTCTATTGATTTTAATAAGCCTACTCAGATGAAGCATTTTTAGATCATCAATACTGAGACCCTGAAGACATTCCTGCCATCCAGTATCATGTCAGCTATGGGGAAAACACCTTCTGTGGATAAGCCCTGAACTGTACTGCACTGAGCAAAAGCTTCTGTGTGGAAATTGCCAGATCTGCAATTGTTGGGATTGGGGGACATATTTTTGAGGGGAAAGGTAGAGGAGAAAAAGTTGGATGAGATTGTTTCTTAAAGGCCATATTTCACCCAGTGAAAATCCACAGAAATTCACTGATCTAAAGGCAATGAAGTCTTTATGATTTATATCATCTGGAAACATGGCATTTTCCTATCCTAAAAAGCTTGTTTATACACCAAATCACAACTTTTAATCAACAGCTGACAAGTAAACTATGGTTTCAAATAATTTATACGTGACCATTCATATCCCATTCCATTACAAAGCCTCAGTCACAAAAAGTTCAGCATCCAAAACAAAGCACATTCAGAGCAATTCTGCCTTCATTTGCTGTTGTGGAACCTGCACACAGAATCTGCAATTATCAGTTTGATGAAACATTGGCCCCTCAAACAGACCCTAAAAAAATAATCTCACAGCATGTGGGTTTACAGAGATGAAACAATTGGACATGAAAGAAAAGGCGAGAGACCTCCATTAGCCTGACTGGCAGAACAGCTGACTGCTGAACACTGTATGGTACAGGGCTATGACACAGATCAGAGAATCACTGGGATTTGCTGCGTATTTTCCAGTAAAAGCTGAATATGTACTTTAATTTAGATCCCACTGTTACCAGCCCTTCCCTCCCTCTCTCACTCCACGGGCTGCAAAACCTGTCCAAATTCAGTCTCAGTTTAATCCCTAAACTATTTTCTTTCATTAGGAATCTCATATTGTTGCTCAGGTCTGATTCAAAATCCACTTGATATAGTGGAAAGATTTCCACTAATACTTCAGTATATTAATACTGAACAGTACCACCATCACCCTGCTTGGGCTGCATGTGTGCTTAACAGATGAAAAAGCAAAACGACAGGAGTAAATTTTCAGCGGATGCGGGGAAGCCACTCTAGATTTGAGTGTGTCCAATGGACCTGGGATAGCCCTTTCAGCTTCTTTGTTTGAATGGATGATGTGAATTGTGTTTTACTGGTGCTACATCTCACACAGACGAGCAAGCTTCTACAGAGCAAATCCAATGAGAAACAGCTTATCAGTGTGAGCGGCTCTCAGGGTGGCCCCTGCATTAGTTTTTCAAGGCAAGTTTATATGTAGCGGTTTTTAACTCTGTGGGGGTGCTAGTTCTCACAGAGACCTCTGAAACTAATATAAAAATTGCCCACAGTTCAAAACTATGTAAGTATATTGCTGTACATGACATAAACCTCTTACTGACATTGATCATGCAATAAAAATACTTCTTCCATCACCCCTTCAGAGTCCTTCCTGCTTCAATCAAGCAACCAGCTATCACCACATGTGCCAAATATACCGGATCATTGGAAAACTGTGGTCAGAAGAAACTTGGAAGATTTCTAATCCAAACTCCTGCTGAGAGCAGGAACAGCTATGAGATCAGACCAGGTTGCTCAGGAAAGTCCTGAAGTCCTCCAAGGCTGCACAGCCTCTGTGGGCAACCCTGCTCGCCCATCTTCATGGTGAAGTTTTTCCTTACACCTACATGAACCTCTCGTTTCAACTCATGCCTGTTGCTTCTCACCCTCCAGCCATGCACCACGGTGAAGTGCCTGGCTCCATCCACCTTCTTGGTAAGTTCCTCCCAGGCACAGGGAGCTGCTGTTAGTCCCCCCAACCCTGCCTCTGCTCCGGGCTGAGCCAGCCCAGGTCCCTCAGCCTTTGCCGCAGCACCTGCGCCCTGGCCCCCAGCCCATCTCGTGTGGCCCTTCGCTAAATTCCTATCTCAAATCCCTCATTGTTTAGTTGCATGCCATATAAAAAAAAAAAAACAAACCCCTCAAAACCCGAACCATGGCATACTTTTCAACATATAACACATAGCACCATGCTGCTAATAGAAAATGTGTGGAAGTCTTTTCTCTTTACCGTAGACAATAAATAAACTAGCTATAGTTCTTTTCTTTTTTTTAAATAAGGACACAATGATTCATACTTCCTCAGTGTTCATTTCAGGCTTATCACAACTAAACAACTCAGATGTTACATATCCAGCCACCACCCAAAATAAACCTGCTCTGCAAGTATTTGGTTTTCTGTACCCCTCTATCAGTTCTGACGCATTGATGGGGCTGCAAGTCTTCTAAAAGGCATTTGTCATCAGCAGCTCTCCATTAAAGTAAATCCGAAAATAACCTGCTGCTCCTTCAAGACAAGTCTTCTGTTTGCTTAGACGAAGATGAAAAACACAGAATTACCCTACAACTGTCTGCCATAATGTACTATTTTTTTTAACACGAGCCCCTGAAAACAATTTCATTCAGCCATTTCTCAGAAAGTTTCATGTAATACTTTGCAGCACACAGATTTGCTTTTGCCAAGCCCTTAAAATAAAGTCTATTGATTCCTCTTTCTTCTGTCCCATCTCTATTTTTAAAAATGTATTAAACTCAGAGGTCAGGAATTGTGGTTTCCTAATGTAACATGAACTCTACTAGCAGCAAACTTGAATGAATAAAACTCCCTTGGGAACTGAAGATGCTTTCAGTGTGTGATTAGGCTGCAAATGATTTCAGCTAGGATTTCCTAACAGAGCCAGCAAAATAGGGCACCCAGTTCCCACTCAGTGAATCCTCTTACACCCTTTGCAAACCTCAGTCTGGCTGGAGGCCACCAACCCAGTCCCGCGGAGTCACTGTGTAATATTATACACAAACAATACAAATAAGACAGTGTGATTTCTACCCACACCCTTTCAAAGCAAACATTTACAAAAGCACAGGCAAGTTTCACATAAAAAGGAAACTGAGGCACAAAGGATTCACCATGCCAATGGCAGACAGTAACAGAGCTGGTAGTGTAGCCCCACAGTTTCATTCTGAGATTCAGGCTCACACCAATAAACCAGTCAAGCTTTCAAGAATCCCTTGAAAGTCATCAAAGTTTAGTCAACTAAAAAAAAAAAATTAATTCCACAAGTCTCTAGTGCTCATCACCACAAAAGTACACAACCCATAAAGCTGCTTTCAGATCATCACTAGGTGCAACAGTGGGACATGAGCAATCCAAATAATCACTTCACAGGAATATGCCTCCTTAAGAGCATCCGAGAGGCTCCTTTTAACCATCTGCTGTTACATGATCAATTGAGAATGCACAATCCATTTCTGTGTTTCCCCATTACCTTGCTCCAAAACAAAGGAAAGAGATTTGGATTCAGGGGATGTTTTAGCTGAGCTTGGCTCAAGTTTAATACAACCACTAATTTGGCAGGTGCTTCCCCAGTGCATTTGCTGAATTAGCTGTTGCTGCACAAGCAGCACAAAAGCATTTATCTGCCCTATCTTGTCCTGCCTGAGTAACTCTCACAGACTTTGTCCATGACTTCTTACGTACACATGGATTTTCATCGAGAAAGAATAAATTGGGCATGCTACATGGAAGAGGAATTCTAACTCCTCAAACAGAACTACAAAGCAATTTCAATATCCCAGTAGACAAAGAAAATGCCTCTGTATAAAAATAACTTCAAGTATCCTCCCAGACAGAAATGTAATGTTTTCAGATACAAAGATGCTCTTAGAGCAATCAAGAAGTACCATACTGGTACCTCAGTCTTGGAGAGCCAAGACCAAGTGGTCACATACTTGCAATCCTCTCATTTATTTTCCTTGGAGCACAAGTAAATTCTGGGAGAATGGAAGAGACCTGTCAAGTTGATCATACTGAATAGATACAACTGAACCAGGGTGTGCCAGAAGCATGCAAGTTACATCTGGGGGAGCATGTCCAACAGACACGTATGCTTCCAATGTTATTTATTTTTTATTCTATCTACAGAGGGTATTTTTCAGAAAAAGTCCCTTAATGGTAGTAACACTAGAAACACGCGTACAAAGAGAACTACAGACAGCCACTAGCATTTTTAACAGATTCAGAGTAGATCTTAACAGCATCGGGTTAAGGATTCAGCAGCTGCCAGAGCTTTTGCTACAACAGGGCTCCCATAGCTTCCACAACAGAGGAAAGTTCATGCCAAAAAAACCCTCGTGTTTATATGGCATTCAGGGAATTGCATTTATTTTCTATCTGGTATTGCTCATAACAGAAATCACCCTCTACATATGGAATCTGAATATAAAAATTCCTGCGAGACACCATAAATTTATATTATTACACACATATATGGCATTTTCACCTTTCAAATGATTCCCACAATTATTTCCAGCTATGAAAGCAGAGGTGGAGTTGAGGTCCCTTAAAAAGCAGATAAATAAATACCTAAAAATACCGATGAACATAAAAATAACAGACTAGTCCAGGATCCAAAAGTTACATTAAGGCTAAATTCACATTATTTCCTTTTTGCCTTTATAAATTCTTGAATTAATATCTTCCACAGAAGCATTAGCTCAAACACTGAGTACCTCCTGAAGATTTTATTCTCAAAAAAGCTTCAACATCTGTTCTGAGCTGTACTGTAAACCATCAAACGCTATTTTTTAAGACTTACATTTTTAGCTCTTTAAACTACTGCGTAGACTTGTGGTTTG